ATTCTTCGAAATTTATCACCAGATCAACATTTAGCTATTGGAAAAGCACTTGCACCATTAAGAAAAGAGCAAATATTAATTATTGGCTCAGGTTCATCTGTACATGGATTTGATGTAACAGAACAACAATCTGATGCATTTATGAATGAATTAATTAAGACTCTTACGCAATATGATGAACATGAGCGTGAAAAAGTTTTACTTAATTGGGATCGAGTTTTACCTTATGCACGATTAAATCAACCTCGTGAAGATCATTTTATACCTTTACATGTTATTGTTGGTGCAGCTGGTTCTGATCGTGGACAAGTATTAAATCCAAATGTATCAACTTCACAAGCTTCTTTTAAATTCGGTGTTTAACATTCATTTTTGTTGTTATTGTTTTTTTTATCCTTTGTACTAAGAATAAAAAGTATCTTGATCGAATTAGATTCCGAAAAAGGAATGTATGCGATCGAGAAAAGAAAAATCAATCTTTTGGGGCTAGTGAATGATTTACATTAAGTCTTCTCTATTGTCCATGGATACAAGATCATGCAATTATTTTGCATTATATAGACAGCCGAACTGGTCTATATTATAATATACAAACTTTCAGTTCAAGAACTTTAATAAAACTGGTCACTGAACGGAAAGAAAAAAAATATATATATATACATATATACATATATGACTAGCCGACAATGAGCATATGTGTACATTGTGTTATCATCTTAAATTATCATTATTATCTGGCTAATCATTAAAATAAAATAAAACAAAAGGAAAGAATAAGGCATAATAAAATAATAAAATCTATATTAAAGTTTATAAGTTTTCTTCTGGGACTTTTTTTCTTATTCAAACTTTTTACATGTATGCCATGTCTTACACTTGAACTTAAGCATTCAACTATCCATCTGAAAGAAGGTGACAGTAGGGGTGGAGAGGAGAGTACACAGGGAGCATGGGTGAACGTAGAGCACAGGGAGAATATGAGTAAGGGAATAGGAGTAACTAGGCAAGCAGAACGTCGATGACGATGAAGGAAAGAGAGATACAAAAAGACAATAGTTTAATACTTGTAGTGAACAATTAAATTCAAATTTCAAGTTTGACACTACTCAATTTTTATTGAGTCAGTTTTCCCTATGATATGAAATACTAACTCTTCACAGGGGACTCTAGTGCATTTGCTATTTCCAATGGCAAAAAGAAGTTCTAAAGTTGTAACTAATTAATTTTTATTTGATTATAGTAGAGTAAAAACTTGTCAAAGTAAATTTGACAAGATTAATAGTAAACAACCATCATACAGATGCTTTTTTTACAAAAATATGTCTGCAAGATTTTGAGCTATTAAAGCTTCTTATCAATACATCCATTAAGAAAATGAATTATATATAGTTTCAATTGATTAAAAATGATATAAAGGTTTATTGAGACTGATTGCCACTGTCATCTATTGAAAATCAAAACGTATAATATTATTTTTTTTCCTGTTCTTTTATAACTCAAACAGTGTTCTTGACAATTTTCATATTTTTTGCTTAGTCATGCTTTAAAAGTTAAAGTACGATCTACGTACGTGTACTATTATGCTTCGAACGTTAAAGTACGGTCTACGTACATGCATCATCATGCTTACACAGTAATAAAATTTTTCTACAAATACTCATAGTTGTTTGTAATGTGACTTATGTTCATTATTGGAATTATCAAGAAACAATAATGCCAACAAATGATTTTCCTGTTGTTTTTGTTACGCATGGAACGTAAGAAAAAGTTATATTTTTTTTCTGACCATTAGAGTTTTGATTTATTATTTTTAGTGTTGCGATGATGATTTCCGATTCACCAGTAAAAGTACCGATTTTTGGTGAAGTTAGTCGTAATTGTCCGTTAGCTCTATGGCTTCGTCAGTTATCTAAACAATTAGCTTTACCATCATTACCAAAAGCAATTCTTATTATCACAGCACATTGGGAAACAGCAAATAGTGTGCATATAACTGCACAAGAAAAACATACTGAACTCTTTTATGACTATGGAGGATTTCCAAAAGAAGCTTATGAGATTCAATATAAACCACCAGGTGATATAAATTTATCAAAACGTGTCAAAACATTACTTGAACAAAATGGTATATCAGCTAAACTTGATGAAAAACGAAATTTTGATCATGGTGTTTTTGTTCCACTTAAACTTATCTATCCTGATGCAAATATTCCCGTTGTAGCATTATC